TTTTTTTTTATTTTTATTATTTTTTTTTTATATATATATATATATATATATATATATATATATATATAGTTGCAAAAGTTTTTAATGCCTTACTCGCTTGTAATTATAACCAATACATGCGCAACATAATTCATAGACGTAGATAAGCATTTGAACGATCAGGCGGTTATAGTATTTGCAAACATCGTCATAAATAGAAATTCGTACTGCTCAATCGTGATTTTAATTAAGAGAACTCGATATTAATTTCATCAGTAATTTCAAAAAAATTCCATCGCCAATTAAATTTATTAATTGTCAATTTCGGCCTGAGCCGTGGACATGTTATAATGTCAACAAAAAAAAAAAAAAAAAATAAAAACAGTTTGTCGATTAGTAGGTGAAATCACTCGATCATGAAATATCAATGAGATTTTGAGAAGATAGAAAAATGTCGTAACACATAGGAAATGAGTGTACGTACTTTAATGGCATTTGTTAAGGCGCTGCGATCGTGCGATCGATTAGATCGAGTCATGAAAATGCAGGTAGGAAAAGTTGCGTGTCGAAGTTTAAAGAGACGTGATTTTCGAGAGGAATGTAAATATCATGTGCTTGGCTATTGGGAAGAGAGGCCTATGCGCGGCTCCATCGTTTTCCATATCATCGGACATCGTTGATGGGTGTAATTTAGTTTCCACCAGGCGGGAAAGCACAAGTAGTGCTCACAAGAGGATGACTGGCGTACGAGAAAAAGGTGCCTCGAAATCCCCACATACTGAAAACCAAAGCGTCTAAAGGCTGATTCTCCTTTCTCCTCCTCCTCCTCCTCCTCCTCCTCCTCCTTTCTCCTCCTCCTCCTCTTCCTCGTCGTCGTCGTCTCCTTCGGCTTCTTTGGCCTCTTTTCCGCCTTCTTTTTTCACCTTCGCCGTGTATAGAAGCTGCTGGTATGCAACTGTGTATGCGTATATAGAAAGAGCGCAATCGTCTCGAGAGTTGCGCGCACTTGACATTCCGAAATGAGAGAGCGACGAACGTGCGAGTGGCTATTGATGTCCGCGATAGAAGGAGAAGAGGTTCGTTATGTGGGTTGTGGTAAGTTTGTTCTGGATTCATAGTGTCAATCGATACATTTCGATTGAATAAAAACAAAAACAAAAACAAAAAATAATAATAAAAAAATAATAAAAAAAATTATTGATAAACATGATATCCGCGGTTATGAGCATGTAAAGTTCATACGGTATTTGAAATTGCCGGCTTTACTATAATGCACTGAAAATTAATGTAATAAAATAATGAATTTTATCTAAATATAGCAATTCGAAAATAATGATTATCCTCGGCAACGTCCAGTCAGTCAATCTATATAAGTCTCAGCGTATACTGATAAATTTAATGAGACGGACGAAAATATACGTTCAGTAATGTCTGACAAAATGCATTCATATTATAAAAATATAGACGTAAATCGTAATTTAACCATTATATATAGAGCAACGGTAATGATTATTTTCATGAATTTGATAAAAGATAAGAAGAATATCCTCTACTTACGGCATATATTTATACATTTATACATATTTGTATAAAATTTTTCATCTAACGACTTTGTCAAATTTTTCATTTTAATTTGTTCAATTTGGGACTGAACATTTGCATAAAGTATTCATAAAGTATAAACTTTAAAGTAAATTACTAAATACAATATGAAAATAATGTTCACATCATTAACGCCATCCGAAGCATTAATGTTCATTTTATAAAGCACAGCAAAGGTCGATATTTAAATATAATTGAAATTAAGCTTCAGATAGTGAAAATATACATATAATTATTTATAATAAAACACTAAATAATTATTAGCTGGTGTTTTTAATGATGGGATATAAAAAAGTGTTTTTTTTTTTATGTAAGATAAAGTTTCCAATTAATCAAATCGTTGACTTCCCTAAAATCTAAAATTAAAAGAGTTATATCTCTAGGTAAAAAAAAAATATATATATATATATATATATATATTTTTTTATTTAAAAATAAATTTCTAAATTTCGTCAATAGAATTCATTTAATTGCGTACCAAATAATCAATTAAATATATTTTGTATAAGCATATGTATGTTCAATTTGTTTCATAAACATTTTATTACCATTTTCAGGCTATTAAATATAAAATTATTCGAATTCGCACCAGTAATAGCACATTATATAAATAGAAAAAAATTTTTTTTTTGTAAGTAAAATATAATTGTACAATTCTTGGGAAAATTTTGATAACATTTTCTTATTTGCGGTGGATGTAACAACCGATAAATTAAGGAACTGACGCGTTGAATGGCAATTTCTTGCCCTTCTCGTTTTTTCTTCTTATACTTTTTCTATTAAACATATATGGTATGTCTTGAGTTTAATTTGAATAATTATTCATACGATTTTCGAGTATAATTAGCGGTAAGAGAGGTTAAGGAGGGAAGTGCATAGGGGACACCATAGCTACAAACACTTAAATGTGCCGCGTACGAGCTTAAGAGCGCGAAAAGGAATAAATTGAGCTCTGGAGAGTTATTCGATGTTTAAGGATGTATAAGGAAGTCTCTTAAAATCCTTCCTTATTTTCTTTACCCTCGCTTTATTATAATTGTTAATTGCTCGTTAATTGGCACGAGCAAGCGATTTGATTAACAATTATTTTCTTAAAGTAGTTAATTTAGTCGATAAAATAGCATTAATTTTACAAAATAACGGCTATTCATAGGAGTTTGAATGATTTACAATTAAATTAAGCATGAAGGAATAAGTAGATAATATAAATAATAAATATGATTAAGATTTTTTAATCGTTTCGATATTCTCTTCTATACTCGGGCAATTCGACGTTGTTTGACAATCACGATTTTATTAAAAATATAATATTGTATGTCTAATAGTTTTTGAAGAATGAAAACTTATTGAAAGTCCTTAATATTATGCTCCTTTGGAAACACATTTAGCTTGGGACATTGAAAATTGTTATTTACTACAATGTAAATTAAATATTAAATTAATCTTGGAAATTCTTATCATTTATTATAGAAATGAAAGGGCAGTGAGCGTTTATTTTGAAATTTGCATCGCAGTCAAATTACATAAATAAGATGCAAACAATATT